TGCTCATTCACTGCATTGATATCAGCTTTGTACTGTAGCAGCTGGTCCCCAGGGCCAGACAGAAAGAAGAGACAGAAGGCATAGAGTTAGTCCCAACTGAGAGACAGGTGTCGAGGCACAGAGGAGGGAGAAGAGGACACATGATGTCTCCAGTATGTTATAGTGCCTGTGGCTAACTTCTAGGCATGTATATGATGTAGGGAACGGAGAGGATCGTACATACCTTCTGTACAATATCACGGTGTCCATGACTGGCTGCCAGGTGCAGGGGGGTGTCATCCCCACGGTTCATCACATTGATTCGTGCCCCCCGCATGATCAGCATCTCAACCACAGCAGAGCGGCCCTCTCGACAGGCCCAGTGCAAGGGGGAGAAGCCATGATCATCCCTTTGAAGGAAGGTATAGTGGTCATTTATCTGGAGGTGGAATGGGGCAAAGGCTTTAGTATAGGAAAAACTGATGGTTCCTCTGCATACTCACCCTGGGAAACCTTACCTCTCCAGGACTTCAATTCTCATTCATGTCAGCAACTCCCAAAGCTGTCTAATTCAGACCTTACCCTGAGCTTCAAACCCAACCCCCAACAAGTCCATATGATTAGTTTCCACCACCAGCTCCCACCAGCCTTTCTTCCCTGGCATGCCCTATTTCATTAAATGGTAGCATTCTTCATCTGGTGTCCTCTGCATCCCTTTTGCAACATCTGTTGGTCCTTTCTGTTTTCCACTGCATCTTGTACATCCCCCTATTATAGTATTTATCACACTGGATTATAAAAGTTCATTAATGGGCTGTCTTGTCTGACTGTAAGCTTGAGAGAATGGATTGACAGCAGGTGTGCAGTGCATGTTGAGGGTGTGGAGACTTGGAGAAGGGAAGACCACAACTCATGGAAGAGGACGCAAACTTACCGACTGGCTCTGGTACTGAAACTAAGATTTCAAATGGAATGGAATTTAAAATGAGATTTTGGAAGGGTTTATAAGTGAGAAAGAAATCCTTCTGATAAGTCATTACTGATGCAACTATCAAACCACCACATAAAACAGGATTCCTCTACTCAAGTCTACTCAAGCAATCCTGGGCACAGAAAACAAGCAAATAAGAGGGCTTCTTGTAGAAACAAAACTACCTGACTTTTTTCTATTCGCAAGGACATGTATCTTATAAAGTAAAAGAAGTGTACAAAAAACCCCAAAGCAACTGGGTGGGAGCTGGGCCTGCCTGACAGCCAGGGGCCATAAAAGGAAATTCCCTCTAGTGAAGGAGGTAGAGCCAAGGGGCGGAGCAGAGGGCGGTCTGCGGTTTGGGCAGACTGCCTCCGGATGCCTTAGTGCTGTGGTCACTTCCTGAGTTGGGGCTGTAGGCCAGGGCTGGAGCTGATCAGGGGTCTGGCCACCGCAAGTCCCCCAGATGCCCAACAGCTTAGGAGGGGGCGTGGCCTTTAACAGAATGATTTCCCTCCACAGCTTCCTTCATCTCACACAGAGATAACTAAAAGCTTTCCTGGGAGATGGGGATCCTCCTCTTCCCCAAATCAATTTTCACCCCCTGCTTATCAGTCAGTTTTACCTACCAGCTCTTTAATTGGTGACTTGGCTTATCAGCCTACCCCCCAGTCTATGGCCCCAGAGCAGGCCAGAGCCTGAGGGCAAAAGTATGGGGAGGGCCCTGGCTGGTTTGGCTCAGGGGTTAGAGCATCAGCCAGCAGACCAATGAGTCATGGGTCCGATTCAGGTCAAGGGTACATACCTGGGTTGCAATTCGTCCCGGCCCTGGTTGGGGTCATATGGGAAGCACCCACTCGATGTGTCCCTTTCACATCGATGTTTCTCTCTCTCCCTCTCTCTCCCTCCCACTCTATCTGAACAAAAACTTGAAAAATGTATGTGAAGGGCCCGGCCAGTGTGGTTTAGTGAATTGAACGTCATCCCATGGACTGAGAGGTTCCAGATGGATCCCCCATCAGGGAACATGCCTGGGTTCAGGGCTCAATCCTTAGTAGGGGGTGTGCAAGAGGCAGCCAATCGATGTTTCTCACAGCGATATTTCTCTCTCTCCCTCTAAAAAAAATCGATGAAAACATGTTTTTAAAAAGTATGGGTAGGGTTCTGCCCACTCTCAGGCTGCCTGTCATCCCAGGGCCAAGACTTGAATCCCAGAGAGCCCTGCAGGGAATTCATCCTCACGTCATATCCATCATATGGCCAGCATGGGCCCCCAAAACCTATCCCGTCAAACCAACATAGCCTTCCAGTTTCACTAATGCCACCCCTTCACCTTTTGGCAGCAGTCTGTCTAGATGCCACACCCACTGGACAACTCCACCTAAACTTGTATAACCCCACCAACAAAATAGTAACAGTGCACACTGTCTATTAGAGCACCCTTTGAGGAATTATATGAATAATGGAACAAGTGACTGTGAATTACAGAGAAGTAGTATGTACAGTCGTCCCTCGCCACTTTGTGCTTCAACTTTTGCAGCTTCACTCTCGTGGTTTTTTTTAATACTGTACTACATTTGGAAAAACCGCGATAGACTGAAGCCACAAAAGTCGAAGGCCAAGTGGTGAGGGACAACTGTATATAAATAAAGAATTCTACTTCACGGAAATTCATTTATCGCAGTAGAGTCTGGAACTGATTAACCGCGATAAACGAAGGCCGGCTGTATAGAGCCTAATGGGAACCTATGAGCCTAGTGGGAGCTTGGATGAAGATGACAGGTGATTATTACGTCAAACCTAAAAACTAAACTCTGTCAACCTTAAAATATTAAATTTTAAAATAAATAAAATTAAAACCCACACTCCTGAGTCAACATCACTATTGCTTTTCTTGCCTTCCAGTCTCAGCCAACCTCATCTCCCATTCAACCTGGCACAAGGCCCCTGCCTTGAGGTCAGGCACTGAGTCTGAACCCCCTCCGCCTCTAGTGCCCAGCGGTGTATATAGTTCCTCAAATGAAGGAACCCAGTGTAATCTGGATTCTTCACCTGTTTTCCTCTGAAGCAGCCCTCACAGAGATCAAATATATCATTAATTGTAAATTCAGTGGTTACCTTAAAGTGTTCAAATGCTTTGATCTCTCAGGAGCCTATACTACTGTTGACCACTCCCCCTTCATTGAAGCATTCACTTTTCTAAGCTTTACAAATATTTTCCTGTTTCTCCTTCAACCTCCAGTTGTTCCTTTTAAATCTTGCAGGCTTCTCATCCTCTCTCTTCAAACCCATGTCTTCAGGAATCATCTATATGCTACCATGTCCTAAATCTGTATCTCCTAGTCAGACCTCGCTCCTGAAATCCAAATTCTGCATGACCACAAACTTACTCAACATTTCCGCTTCACTGTACTGTCACTTTAACATGTCTAGAGTGGAGCTCGTCATTCTTCAGTCTTGTCCATCTCAGTTAAAGGAACCACCACCTACCCAAGTTCCCAAGCCAGAATCCTGGTCATCATCTTTGACCTTCCTCACCCCATACCAAGTCTCACCAATTCTTTTTTATTTATTTGTTTATTTTTATTTTTTAAAACAATTTTGTTTCCAATTACAGTTCAATATTATTTTGTATTAGTTTTGAGTGCACAGCACAGTGGTTAGACAATGAAATACTTTACAAAGGGCTCCCTCCCCCTGACATTTTCATGAATTCTTTATCATAAAGATTCCAGAAATTTGATCTTTCTTTTTCACCTACCCTCATTCTGGCCCAAGCCACCACCACTTCTGGGATGGACTAGGCGACTGCCTCTCTTCACATTGCCACTTGCTCTTCACAAAGCATCCAAGGTGACACCTCGCAAATGGGCATTCTCCTATCACTACATGGCTTTAAAGCCTGTTCTTAGAACAAAAACCTTATTATGGCCTAAATAGCCTTGCGTGATCTGGCTGACCCTTTCAGACTTTCCAGTCTCCTGTCTTCTCCACTTGTACCCAATGCTTCAGCCCAGAGGCCCAAAGAGGATTTCTATCCTCCAGCCCTAAGAAACTGGGCAATTTCCGGGCACTCTCCGCTCTGTCTTGCCTCCTCGCCCATGCAGCTCACTGAGGCTGGAAAGCTCTCTCTCTGCAGCCTCTGCCAATAAAACTCGTATTTAGCAGCAAAGACTCAGCTCCAACACAGCTTCCCCCGTGGAGACCCTCCCAACACACACGCACAGGCTGCGCTTGGCACTCACCACTGGACAGGAAAGTCAGCGGCTCCCACCTGACGTGAGCACCCCACATCACCGAGAGGAGAATGCCTTTGCCCTTCCGCTCACCCACCAGCCACCTCGCTCACCCCTGGTTGAGGTCGTTCTCCGTGTTGTCCAGCCACAGGCGAACAGCAACCGCGTTGCCCTCCCGGCACTGAGTGAAAATGTCGTCCATGGCAGCGTCCCGGCGCTGAGTCCCCTAGACTGGGGAAGCCTGGGGACTGTGAAGGGATCCAGGGAACGAGGGTGAGCCCCAAACTTTGTCCCCTGAAGCAAAGAAGTGTTTGTGCTGGGGATGGGGTCTGGGTGCTGCGTCCTCTCTTGGTGGAGGTCTGGGAAGGAGTTTGGGGCAACGGGCTGATCCCCAACTGTGTCCCTGGGCGTGAGGGAGAGCCAGTCCTGGCGAGGTGGAGGGTGATTAGGGGGTAGTGTATCTTCTGAAGGGATGTCAGAGAGCAAGCACAGGGACCCAATCCGCTAACAGACCTGGGGGAGGGGCAAGTTCGGGCGCCCTATTCCCTCGGGGAGGAGATCGGGGGTCTTTCCCGGGGATGGCCCTGGTTTCCGACTCGGAACTTGGGCGGAGTGAGGGGTGACGGGACGACAGGGCTCGCGCCCTGGGGAGGGGGCACGGTGTTCCCGCACTCACCGGGACGCGGGCTGGAGGAGCCTTCTCCGGGGAACTCCCGTCCGGCCGCACCCGCAGCCCGGCCCCGCCCCGGCTCTCTGGGGCCCGCGCGGCCCTCCTTCCTCCCGCCTCCTTGCCCTTCTAGCCCACCAGTGTTTACACTCGATGGTTTTCGGCACCGCGCCGGCCGCTCTAGCCAACTGGCTTTCACTCTGGTTACCGGCTCTGTTCCGGCAGCACTGTGGGCTCAGGTTCCTAGACGCTCTCTGCACGTGGAGAGGCGCGGGCATCCCGCGACCTCACCCCACCCCACTCGCATGTTTGAGGAGCCGGATTGGGCCGTGGAGGCCCCATTAGCCGCGGGCCTCGGGCCTGTAGCCTCCCGGTCTCGGCCCGCGGCAGCCTCGCAAATTAAGGTGAGTGGTCTCCCAGGGCACTGGGAGCTGTTTAAGGCCCTGAAGCGGATCCTGGTGGATCTCAGCGCTGGCAACGCCGCGCCCACTGCCTGTGTGGGTTTGGGTGTGGGTGTGTTCGCGCGCGCGCCTGCGGCCGACTGAGATCGAAGACGTGAGAACTTCCAAAAGAAAATGACATTGGAACTGAGATTTGGTAAGTAGAACTCAGTGAAGCAAAGAGAGTTCCTGGGACAGGAAAAGCACGTGCAAAGGCCCTGGGTCAAGAGAGCATGCGTGCCCTGTTAAGGTCACACGGCAAACATGACCCCTGTCGATGGAGCACAGAGACTGAGAGGGGATGCCATTGAAATTGGAGAGGTAAACTTGTTGTTTTGCATATTTTAAAGATAGACATTGATGAAGAGGTTTTAGCAGGGGAAAGATTCCTTCAGAATTGCATTGTGGACACTGGAATTGAGAGAGCAAGAGGGAATGACAATGAAAGGTTGTTAGTACTGCCATTTCAAAAGGTGGTGTGGAAGGTGTACGAAGATCCTCCCAGCTAAGTGCCTGGTCTCGGATCACCCATTTGGACTTCAACCCAGAAGGCTTCCCAGACAGTAGACCTTCTCCTTTAAGCTTTTGCTGATGTGAAGGCAGCTGTACTTCTTCAGGCCCTTTCTACCCTCTGTGAGCTTCCAGCATATAATCTGTCTGCTTTATGCGTCCTCAACCCATTGCTATAATCCAGGCCAGTGGCCCCTCTGTTAGCAGCATGTCGTCTTCAGTTCTCTACACTGTAGCTAGTCATTTTAAATACACACGTGTCATCCTGTCACTCTTGTTTTCAGAAACCTTCCTGCCTTTTATCATCTGGAGGCTGAAGCCTGAGATGGAGGGTTGGAACTCCTGGTCTCTGGCCTTGGTCTGGTTGCTTGTGGCCCTGCTTACCCCAGTACCTCCTCTGAACATTGAAGAGAGTGGGATGGGTGGTTCCTCTGGCTTCAGCTTCCCAAAGGTTGGGGTGGCGACTTGAAAGTTCTTCAGGGTCTGACAGGCTTCATGACAAGCTAGTTAACCGAGAATAATCCAGATACCTCTGCCAGCATCTGAACCAGGTCTTTCCCATCTTTCCCCTCTTATTCCCCAGGTCTCATTCATTCTCCTCGGCCCTGCTTCCATCCCTTCTTTTCCCCCCAGGGCTCCAAGCGCCGCCGGCTCTTGGCCACACTACGGGCCCTAGAGGCAGCATCTCTTTCCCAACAACTCTCCGGCCTTCCTGGCAGTGACTCTGAGGAGGAGGAGGTGGTGGGGAAAAAAAAGAAACGCCCGAAAAAGGCCTCATTTGCCAGTATTTCTACTGAAGTGGAGAAGAAAAGGAAAAAGCAGCATCCAAAACAGGGCCAACCTATCATTGACTCTGAGGAAAAGGAAGTAGAAAAGAAGTGCCATAAAGGGGCTTTTCTTGGCAGTGACTCTGCTGCAGAAGAGAAAAGAAGGGGGACATGCCAGAAGCAGGCCCCTTCAAACCTTGCCCAGCACCTGGACAGTGTTCACCAAACAGGTATTAGTAGATGTATATATGTGTGTGGGACAGGGACAGGGACAGGGGTGGTCATCTGATACTACATATGACAAAGGTTACTTGCCACCATTAGGTTGGGAGTTAGGCGATTACAAGTACTTTTATCCAGGCCATAGGCTTTTTCTAGGCCAGGATGAATTTGCCAAGCCTCTGAATTCAGTGGATCTTGCCCCAAATATGCCTTCCCATCTTCCTCCCTACAGGTCCCAAAGCTTTGAAAAGTAATGCTACAGATGACCCACGCAAGCCATGCCCTGTGACCACTTCTTCCCAACTCCCCAATACCTTGAGTCGCAAGCAGTGGCGGAACCGGCAGAAGAACAAGCGTAGACACAAGAACAAATTTCGGCCACCTCAGCCATCAGACCCAGCTCTAGCCACAGCCCCCACAGAGGAGACAGAGGTGCCTCCTGCCCCCACTCAAGACAGCCTTGAGGCTCGGGCAGGAGCTCTGCGAGCCCGCATGGCACAGCGGCTGGATGGTGCTCGATTTCGCTACCTCAATGAACAGCTGTATTCAGGGCCCAGCAGCGCTGCACAACGCCTTTTCCAGGAAGATCCCGAGGCCTTTCTCCTTTACCACCGCGGCTTCCAGAGCCAAGTCAAGAAGTGGCCACTACAGCCGGTGGACCGCATCGCCAAGGACCTTCGCCAGCGGTGAATGGGGGTTGGGCACCATGAAAAGCAATGTGGGTCAGTCATGGTTCAGACTAGACCAGTGAGTGATCCCTCCCCTCCACTCCCAGGCCTGCGACCCTGGTGGTAGCTGACTTTGGCTGTGGGGACTGCCGCCTGGCTTCAAGTATCCGGAACCCTGTGCACTGCTTTGACTTGGTCTCTCTGGACCCCAGGGTCACTGTGTGTGACATGGCCCAGGTAAACCCTTTTATTCCTCTGTGTATCTTAGAAGCCTGTGTTTTAGGCCCAGCCTGCATAGCTAATCTCTAACACTCCCTCCTTTCCCCACCCCATTCTGGTGTTCGACACTGCCACACAGTGTTGGCTTTCTTCTCCCCCCATACTGTGCGCCTCATACACCCCCCCCCCCCACTACCCACAGGTACCTCTGGAGGATGAGTCTGTAGATGTAGCTGTGTTCTGCCTTTCGCTGATGGGAACAAACATCAGGGACTTCTTAGAGGAGGCAAATCGAGTGCTGAAGCCAGGGTAAGAGCCTCCAGGACACAGATGCATGCATATGTGCACTTGCGTGTGTCTGTGCGCTCATACAGAACTTGCCATTCTCAGGGGTCTCCTGAAAGTGGCTGAAGTTAGCAGTCGTTTTGAAGATGTTCGGACCTTTCTGGGAGCCGTAACCAAACTTGGCTTCAAGGTCATTTCCAAGGTGAGGGCCCCTATTTTTGTCTTATGTGTGGCCCTTTTCAGAGCAATGGTGTTCAGGAAAGAGGCCATAGGCATAGACATTGGCTTCATGAAGGTACAACTCATGGGAAGCTCTCTGAACAAGGGTGGGACATAGACAGGTGTTTCTGAAGAGGGGTAAGGATTTGGGGCTCACTGGGTCTTTTCTGCTTCTAGGACTTGACCAACAGCCACTTCTTCTTGTTTGATTTTGAAAAGACCGGGCCTCCTCGGGTAGGGCGCAAGGCTCAACTCTCAGGCCTGAAGCTTCAGCCATGTCTCTATAAGCGCAGGTGACCTCTGGACACCTCCTGAAAGGGGAAGCAAGTCTCGAACTCCATACTCAGAACTCTGAAGACTGTAACCAGCCAGTCAGTGACCCAGGACTGGTACCACCCTTCCTCTGTCCCAAGAACAAAGTTGGATGAAACCCCTGGCTCAGCCTTGCTTTAATGGAGGCTTCTTGGTTGCAAGAAGCATAAAATCACTCAGGTTGGCTAAAGAATATGGAGTTTATTGTGAGAACACAAATATCTGGAAACTATGGACTCCCTAGGTATCATGGAAACTAGATAGATGGCTTGGAATTCAAGGCATCTCTGGGTTTGACTCCTTTTTCTCTCTCTGAGGAGCCCCATGGGCTTTCTGTCCTGGCATCTCCATTCTCCTCTCTTCTGATCTTCTGTCTGCAGACCAGCTTCCTATTACTCATAGCTGCTGCTCCTTTAGCTTTGGTCTGCTCAGGCCTTCAAGGCCTCAGACAGGCAGGCATTGCTTCTTGGTCCTGGGACAACTGGTAGTCCACCAACATACTGGTTAAGACATCAATCTGGGCTTCTGGGTCAGGACTGTTTGATTGTGTCTGTACTAAGCACTTTTCTCCCCTCTATCTTTATCTCCATCTTTGGAGCTACATGACCTAGTATCTGTTGTCCTGTGGGGCCCTGGTATGTGTCTGGCTGAGGACAGATTTTAGAATCAGGTATAGACCTGGGTTCAAATTCTGGCCTGCCATTTATTGCTGACAGTCATTTAATTTTTGAATGTCACATTCCTCATTTGGAAAATGGTAGAATTTCTGTCTAATGGGATTGTTGTATGGGTCAACTGAGGAAACCTATATACAGGGCCGGGTACCGAGGAGATGCTCAATAAACTGTAGATGTAGCTGTGTGTGTTGTAAGCCTCATTGTTCTCTAAAGACCTTCCCTAGGCTGGGTTGGAGATTGAAGGGTAAAGAATAGACTTGTTGACTGAGGAAGACTCAGATAACTCAATATAAGCCTTTCAGCAGGCTCATTTAATAGGATGAATAGAGATTCTTGATAGAGTCTGAGCTGTCCTTGGAAGAGGGTGGTGAGGGCATTGGGTATCTTCATAAATAACCATCAGTTAATGCCTTGTTGGGATGGGGGATTGGACTGTTCATTGGCAGAAGGGTCTGTCATTTCTGCCTAGCAGAGAGCTCAGATCAGTATGTCAGGAAAAGCTGTAGTGCTGGAGAAGATGAACTGGGTTGATAGATCTTTTGGCCATTTCTAAAAGAAATCTGCCATGAGCCCAGACATAAAGACACAACCTCTCCTACCTAATTCCAAGAACAAGAACTGAGCATGACCACTGGGGCATAGGTTCCAGGGCTCTGAGCCAGTTGGATGCCTTCAGAAGGGGATGGAGATTTTGAGGTGGCTGTCAGCCAGAGGCTATGTGTGGAGGCTGGGCTGTGAACCATTCAGCAGATACTGCACAGGATCTCAGCACATACTCTTCTCTCTGCTGAATACTTGGCTGACTGGCAAAGTTTTACTCATACTTCCAAACAGCCTCATTGTTTCCTACTCCATCACACACAAAGCAGAATGAGCGTATCTACACTCAAAGCTTGACCTGAAGAGTACAGCTTTGGCATTTAAATGCTACACTGTGGTTGCTGTTGTGCATTAGGCTACAGTCTTCTCAAGTTATATTGATCTTTGTATTCCCAGAGCTTGTCACTTGAGTTCACCTAAGCAGCTGATAAGGAACGACAGGGACCAGTTAATTGGGATTGATGTGAGCAGGGGTATTGCAGGAACCCCAGTTTGGGGCAATGGATAAGTGGACTAGTGACAATGGAAGAAGTAGGCAAATGGGAGAAGTCCAGTAGGTAGGACTGGTAGATGTTGACAGTTGGTACGAGAAAGGAATCTGAAGTGAGTCTGGTTTCTGGCTTGAGCAACTGGATGAACTGATGATGCCATTCAAAATGTTGGGTTTTAAGTACCTCTCTAGGTGTTCATTTGGAAGTGGGACATAAAAGTTTCAGGAGAGATTTGTGCCAGGCGTTTGGGACTCAGCAGCCCAGAGGTGGTAAAGTCATAGGAATAGATAAGATATCCAGAGTAAGATAATGAGAAGAGAAGATGGCTCAGAATAGAACTCAGGAGCATTTAGTGGATGGGTAAGTGAAAATGAACCAGTAAAGGTGACAAGATGAAAAGGTTGGGCCAGAGATGGAGGAGTAGTAAACCAGAGAGTGAATTTTTTAATATGAAAAGAATAGTAAGGTTTTCATGTGTCAAATGCTGTTGAGAAGTCTATGAAGATGAGAGTGAAATCAGATTGCGGTGGGATGAGGATTGCTGAGTAATGTTGAGGGCCTTTTTGAATATATATTGGTACTCACGAATTTATAGTTATACCAGTCAGCCCAATGGTGTGGCTGTCTGCCAACTCAGATGTAGATATAGCTGTAGAAACTGAGCACTAAGGGATCACCCAGAATTGGAACCTTGCCATGCAAAAGAAATTAAAGGGAAGCAAGCAAAATTTCAGACCATTCGCAAGTACATGATTGTTATGGGCCATGGAATTTTGTACAGGAGGTATGAGAGTGAAGACAGGAGTAGGTTGTTACACTGGTAGTAATTGAACAAGTGACCTGGGAGGATGGGAAGCTATGGTCAGAAATTGGAATACTTGAATTATAAATATTAGAAGCAGAGCAACTCCTCGATGGCAATGCCCAGAGTACAGCCACAGCAGCGAGGGGCTGAGACACATAAGGGGGAGGTTGCCTGGAGATTGATTAATGGACTGAGGGCTCAGGTTTTGTGTGGGGTATTGTGTTGTCTGCATGGACTTTGCAGTTGTCCAGGATGATGGTAGGCGCTGTCATGGAACAGGTGCCAACCTCTTGAGAGAGTTGTCCTGAAGCTGATACTTGTAGTCTAAGGAAAGGAGAGGCTGGCAGCAGGAATTTCAAAAGTCCTGAGGGTACACACAGTCTACTAGAGACTCCCATTTGGGGGAGTGATGTGACGCTTGTGAGTGGAGTTGGCTGCCAGGCAGCTAGAATAAAATACCCTGACAGTCCTCTCTAGCTTCTCACTGGGTATTACTGGGGAGCGAATATTGTGGCAGCTCCATGGGACAGGAGCCTCCCAGAATAATAGGGAGGTAAGCTACAATGCCCAAGGAGTGCTTTGGAGTAGCAGGGCATCTCACTGTAGGACACATCACGTTCTATAGCTCCATGTCTGTGTTCTTCCCAAATGTTATTTATATTCCTGAGTCTTGACTAATCTTCCCTGTTTCCTTAGCATGCTCACGAGGACAGCTGGGATCTGCTTTCCTCCCTCTTGCTTTCCCCCCTTATGATTTGGATTCTCCTTTGGCCTATTCTGGCATTGGCCACCTGAGTAAACATCTCTCTGGGTCTGACTCAGACCCCAGGCTCACTCTAACTCAGCCAAGCCCCCACTAGTGGCCCCATCAATCACCCTGATTCTGAAAGCAGCACTCCCCTGAGCCTGACCTGGGTCCTCCCTGCTCCAATATCAGCTTCAGGACACGTTTTTGTTCAAGTGCATGCCTGGACTTCAGTGTCTAATGTTGAAAGCCTAGACTGAAGAGAGAACTACAGTGATACCTCGGTTCTCGAACGCCTCGGTTTTCGACCAAATGGAGATTCGAGAAACTTTTGTCTCGGAATCCGAACAAATATTTGGAACTCGAACTTCCGAGATGAGCCGAATGGCGTTCATTCGGCCCAGCGCGCCTTGCTTGTGTCATCAGTGTGAATGCAGAGAGAGAGTCACGCTTTGTGGAGTCACGCTTTCCTATTGGGTTTCATTGCTTCGGTTCTCGAACAATTCGGTTCTCGACCGTCCTCCTGGAACGAATTATGTTCGAGAACCGAGGTATCACTGTATATCTATTTATCTTTCCTTTTCCTTTCCCTTTCCTTTTTCCTGTCTGAAATAAGAGCATGCCAGCTATTTAAAGAACAATGAGACCAGTTTAAGGAGCAATTTGAGAATAGATCAAAGGAGTGGCAAGAGTAGTATGAGGCAAATGGGAATGGGAGTGGCTGCCCCATTTGAGTTTTTTCTGGTTGCTTTGATTTATCTCAGTGAAGCAGGAAGTGGACTTTGGGTTGAGAGTGAATAGGGGAAAAGGGGTTAGAGTTTTGAGGAGAGGAGAATATGAATATTGTTTTCAAGAGAGGGAATGAATTAATTAGGGAAATACAGTATGATTGTTATTATTAATAGCACATTTAAGATTCAAGGTCAGAAAGCGGATAGGGTGAGGAGGAGACTGGTAGAAAATTGCTTTCTAGAGAGCTTGTTACTTGAGACAGTACAGCCGGACTGTCAGAACCCATTCACTTCTTGAGGGGCAGGCTGGTTTCTGCCCTTTTACCTCAAGTCTAACTGGGAACTCCACTGGAACCCTTTTGGATGCTTGAAGTATTTAATCCTACAGCCAAGGAATGATGAGCTGGGAGTCTGATCCTGCCCTGGAAATGTAGAAGGCAAGCAGAGGCTCATTGACTGTTTCAGCATGGAGCCAGATGAGTTTTGCTATTCTATGTTGCTGCTTTACACTGGCCTGCATTCCCAGATTTGCTGTGCAACCTGATGTATGAGTATATCCTTTACACCTTGCAGGAGGGAGGGAAACGTGGGTGGTCTTGGGTCCTGTCCAGTTGGACCGTTTGAAGAGGCAAGGAGACCTCGACACAAAGAGGCTAGAGGTGTGCCACATGGACTGAGAAGGAATTTGCAGGATACCACCCAAAATAAAGCTGCATCCACCAGGGTCAAGGGGACAGCAGCGATGCTCCCTTTAAATATCTCCCTGCCCACGGGGCACAGAACAACCCAGTCAAGCAAGAACTGTTTTATTCCCTGACTTCTCTGCACTTGGGCCCAAAGCAGTCAGCAGGTATTAGGTGGAGAGGAGTTGAGAAGAGCAAAGAGCATGCAGATTATTTACCCTTCCTCATTGCAAGCTCTTTGACTTAAGCAAAACATCTGGGAGGGGAAAAAGAGTTAAAGCTATAACAGGTGTAGATTATTTATTGTTACATAGGATTAAACATTCTAATCACTTGAGATTGTGTTTGTACCTTAAAATGAGCATAAGACTATTAAGAATGAGCTGAAAAGTTACAGATTAGGTGCAGCTTTTTCCACAGCAGGGGAAGAGTAACCCCAAATGAAAAAAAGTTTGGAGGGGTGGTGAGAGACAAGAATAATTTTGGATTTGGATAGCAATCTTGCCTCATGCTTGTTAGCGTCCCCTTTAGAGGCTTATTGCTTCTGCAGATATTGTTGAGGTCCAGCTTTTGTGTCTAAAGCAGTCCTAAGAGAATACAGTTCCAAAAGAAACAACATGATCTTGGCAGAGACACAGCTCAGCTCCAAACACTCAGCCATTTCTATAATTGCACAAAGCCCTTTATAGCTTTTTAGAGACCTGTAATTAGAGCATTTTATTCCCAGGTTGTCCTCCTTCCCAGGTGACTTCTCAGACTGGCCACCTGGTTCTAGGATATTTGACAACTGCACTAACCACCTCGCTGGTCTGATTGCACCTACTCCTGCCTCCCAAAGCAATTCATTTTGCACACAGCCAAGTGATCTTTTTAAAATGTAAATCAGATTTGTCACTTCTCTGCTTAAAATTCTTCAATGGATTCTCATCGCTCTGAAAACAAAAGACAGCCTCGTTCCCAGGCCCTGTGTGATCTTGCCCAAGCCTCCTTCTCCAACTGTATCTTAACCCATTCCTTCCTTATGAAACTCCAGCCACACAGAGTTTCTTTTCATTCCTCCACATTCTAAGCTGTTCCTACTTCTGGGTTTGTGTACATGCCACTCCCTCTTCTAGAGTACGCTTTCCCTGATGACCCCATTTTCATCTTCTAGATC